TCTTATCATTTTTTTTTTTTTTTTTGATGAATTTCACTTTATTTTTAACCATTACTTATCAAATTTATTTATTTATTTTTTCCTAACGCTCAAATTTAAGTTTCAAACTTTGGTCAAATTTCATGTGTTGTTCTTACACATGCAATGATTGAGATACATAAATCACATTTTTAACCATGCAAGTATAATGATTTTACATGATAAATACAATTCACCTTTTTATTTTAGAATACAATATATATATATATATATATATATATATAAATTTTTTTATTAAGAGAGAGATTGTCTATGATATTTTTTAATTAGTCAACGTGAGACTCCAATATAGTATTTATACTTATTTGAGATCCCGAAAAATTCGTCATCAATAGATTTCTAGGAAGTTAGAATAGGAGCTTGTTCCTCGAGCTGGTGGACTTACTAATATACTTTCAACAATTTATGTTTTACATTTGGCTACACAACGTTTGTTGTGGATTTATGATAACTGGTACATTGGAGGCTCGTCATTTATGACTATCTCACGCTATATATAGATTCTCTCATTGTTCTAACGCTCATATAAAATGGACCAAAGCTATATCGTAAAGTTTGAAACATAGCTCGTGTAATGCTATGTTACAAAAACGACCCAACTCGTGGAACATACTATAATACTATAATTCATGTGACCAATATGAATATGTGTAGAAATTATTAAATTCATTTTTTGAACTAAGATTATATATATATATATATGTGTTGGTTTCTTGATTTTTAATATTTTATTTATTAAATTATGCGTTAATTATTAATTGTATTGTCTGTTAAAATTATAGTTTAATTTAGTAAAATTGCAAAAAAAATATTAATAAACAGAATTGACCGAAAGACGAGAGGAAGTCACGGAGTCCACGATGGCAGAGATGGATGTCAGATTACGTCATCTCGTGGGCCCCGCCATTGAATAAGTAAAGTGCCACGTGGTACCAACCGATGTGGGTGGATGAAATGAAGGAAACGTACAAGTAAATAGACACGTAGCTTTTTGTTACTTAAATTTTAATTTATTTACTTTTCTAAAGGAATTTCCTTTTTTAATTTAATGTCACTTTCTTATATTTTCATTTTGCCCCTTTGCTTTCTCTAAATTTGCACTTCTAACCCTTCACATTCTTTGTGTTTTAAAATGAGGCATGGATTAACTTTAATCAGTTTTTAGAAATAAAAGTTATAAAAATTAAGATATTTTAAGATAAAAATATTTAAATATTTTTATTTTTTATTTTTCTATTCACTTTGCTAAATTTTTAATCCCAAACAATTCAGTGTAGTTAGTTTGTGCAGAGTGTCTGCTAGTGTAGTTGTGAGATTTCACATCCATAAGAAAGAGGAACGAGAGGGTGTAAAAACCTCTTTCTAGTTGACATGTTTGAAAACTTTGAGAGAAAGCCAAAAGAGGAAAATATCTGCTGCCGGTGTATTTGGGCTTTTACAAATGGTATCAGAATCAAACACCGGGACGGTGTGCCAACAAGGACTTTGGGCTCCAAAGAGGGTGGCTTGTGAGATATCGTACTAATTGAAGAGGGGAACGAATCATTCCATATGAGGGTATGGATGCATTTTAAAACCTCGAGGAGAAACCCAAAAGGTAAAGGTAAAGCCCAAACATGAGAATATCGGTGAGTGGTAGGCTTGAACGGTTATAGTAATCTCTTATTCGTACTAAGTGTTTCACGCATAAGAGTTCGTTAGGGCTTAAAGCGGGACCCACAACAATAAGAAATAATAATCACAATGATAATTAATACTAGCAAAATGCATTAATTAATTAATCGAGTTAGCCGTGATGGATAACGCCACGTCAGTGGGTCCGACAAAACGACGTGGGCCCAATTAGCCTTCGATTTTATTGCAACAAGAAAATAAAAAGACAAAAATTCATTTTTCATTCGATTAAAACCAAGTAGTTTGCTTCTATAGGTGGGAAAAGGATTTTAATATTTTATCTAGACATATTTATTTATAATAAATTTATTAGTGAATGAAATTAAATAAAATTTAAATTACTTAAAATTTATTTTAACGATTTATAACCTAATAAAAATAAAATAATTAAAGTGATTCTAAATATTTTTATTAATAATGATTTTAGAATAAGGTCAGCGGTACACATCTTGATATCAATATTTACATTACGTCCAACTCGTTCCTATTCATTTCAATCACCATACATAACCAATTTTCAACACTGTATTCTCTACAAATACAAATTGAAAGGCTCGTCAACCACGTGCATTATAGAAGAACAAGAATCGGTCTTTCACGTTCGTGTATGTCCCTTCTACTTTTATTGGCTGAATGGTTAAAGCTTCCAACTCATATTTGGTGAATTCGTGGGTTTTGTTCACGCTAGATGCACACTAACAATATTATAAAATTTGTTAGGCTAATTAAAAAGAAAGTTAGAATTAAATCTTTTTAATTTTGATCGTTTAATAAAATTTCCATAAATAGTTTATAATTTATATTATATGGACTAAATCTTCGGCCTATAATTAAATTAAAATAAAATTTAAGGTTAGGAACATGATTTACAAAATATATAATTTATTGTGAGCGAGAATAAGTTACGTTAAAACACAATTATGACGGTAACTTTAATTAGATAAATTGATATATTTTATCGATCTAAACATGCTGATTCATTGTACTAAAAAATCCAATAATAATAATATAAATAATTAGATTTAGCGCATGCTAACACATGGCCTATTAGCTCAGTTGGTTAGAGCGTCGTGCTAATAACGCGAAGGTCGCAGGTTCGAAACCTGCATGGGCCATTCCTTTTTTTTTTGTTTTCATATTGTGATTACTTATATAACCAATAGTGATGTAACACGTGTGCATGCATAATGGGCTTTGCGAATCCCAGATTATGCGGTTCGGTGCTCGGCCCGCATGTTATTTATGCAACTAACATTATTAATTATATAACCAATAGTGATGTAACACGTGTGCAAACAGAATGGGCTTTTCGAATCCCAGATTATGCGGTTCGGGCTCGGCCCGCATGTTATTTATGCAACTAAGATTTTTTTTTCTCTCCATAAAATAGAAGTAATTGCGAAATTTATTTTTCTTATTTTCTATTTTTAATTTTCTTAAAAAATGTCCAAAGTCGGGGAAAAAATCGTATTGATTAATAATTTTTATGTTTTTTTTTTTTTTTTTTTTTTTTTTTTTTTTTTTTTTTTTTTTTTTTTT